TGCATTTGCCAGTTTCTTAGTATCTACATAGATGATCATATCATCTGCAAAGACAGTTTATCTACTTCAGTGTGTGTGTGTGTGTGTGTGTGTGTGTGTGTGTGTGTGTGTGTTTGCAATTTTATTTTATTTTTGTCTGAGTTTGGACTTCCAGTACAGTGTTTAAAAGCAGTGGTGAAAGAATACACACATATCTTGTTTCTAGTCCTACTGGGAAAACTTCAAATGTTTCCAGAGTGTGTTATGACACCTGTGGTTGTTTTATGTAAAACTGGTTTTATCAAGGTCACAGTTCATCTCTATTCCTAGTTTCACTGAGTATTTATTTATTATGAATGGGTTTGGTACCCAAACCAATTCTGTGTCAGTATCTATTGATTTAATCACGTGAATACTGACTAGCCTTGAAAGCCTGGGATAGTTCCCATTTGGTCATTTTGTACAAATTTACTTGTGCATTGTTAGATTCAATTTGCAAAATTGATTGAGGATATTTAATATGTATGTTAATGAGTATACCAGTCTATAGTTTTCATTACTTTTAATATCATATCTGGTTTTGTTATGTGATTGGTGATGACATTGTAGAATGACTTATGAAGCATCCCTAATGTTTTTATCTTTTAAAGGAGAGCATTTGGAATGTTATTAGTTATTAATAACTTTCTGTAATAGATGTAGGTCAATTCATGTTGTTCTATTTGTTTTTGAATGAGTTTCAACAGGTAGTGTCACTCAAAAAATTGACATTTTTATATAGGTTATCAAGTTTATGAGTGAAGAATTCTCTCAATGTTCCTTTGTTATCACTGTGATAGTCATAGGATCTTTAATGATTCTTCTTTTAATTTCTGCTGTTAATAAAATCGTTTTTCTTTTTCCTTAGCATTTAGAGGTTTATCACTTTCATCAACTTTTCAAAGAACTATCTCTAGATTTTATTGTTTCTGTATTGATTTTCTGACTTTGATTTTATCAATTTTCTGCTGGCAATTCCTTCTCTGTGCTCACTCTGAATCCAACTTTCTTGAGATAGATGATTCTAGGCTTTTTTCTAATATGTGAACCTAATACTTACAAAAATTAATATGTTTTTATTTTTCATTATGCACAAGCTATAAAAATTTTATCTCTCTGTGTTATCAGAATTAAAAATAGCATTGGCATGAGAATGAGGAGGACAGAGCTGAAGTCTCTTCCACACATACATGTTTCAGTGGTTAGCCACATAATGATCTAGAACTTACAAAGGGAAATTGGAACTAATGTTCTCTAATTCTCTCTTTTCTAAGATGACCTTCCATTTCCCAGAAGTCACAGAAGTTGCTGGGTTCTTTTGTGCTTGAGGCCCTAAAGTTATGATTTTTGCATTTATAAGCATTATGTTGCCTGATCACTACCTGCACCCTTCCCTCAGGCAGTGGTAGAAGAAATACTTCACCTACAGGAGATCCTGAATTTTGATTCTCAGACAAAAAGGGGGGGGCGGAGGGAGGGGGGGAACAGAAGAAAAGAGGCATGAAGGGAGAGAGAAGGGGGAAGAAAAAATGCAAAGATATTTCTGGGATACAATATGCTTAGTCACATTGAATAGATTTAATGTAATTTTTTAATATATTGTTTTGGCTTCATAAGGCAATTCTTGAGTTATTTTGTTCTCAGAAAAGATATCGGTCTTTAATGCTTTAATATTGTATTTAATATTTTTCGATGTCTTTTTCACATTTTCTCTTCATTCCATAACATAAATTGGAAATTTTTAACTTCTTCATATTGAAATACACAACACTGGGGTCTTTTCTTCATCAACATTAGAATTCACCAGTGACACAAATGGGGATTACAGTTTTTTTTCTGGCGAAATTTCCTACAGCAACTTGGATTTCGTTCAGAGATGTAAGACACAAGTTTAGGAGTCATTACGCTTATACATGTCTATAAATTTTGTCTATCACCTTGTTGGGTAAATTTTGGCCAGTTCTTCTTGCTATTGCCACAGGCTGGCATTTTTTCCTTTTGGACATTATGAGGTATACTACTACGCCACAGGTCTTAAAGTTTCTTTTTTATTATCAAAGCCCTATTCTCTCTATTTTTAAGATGTATAATTACCATTGAGTTAAGTTCAGTTTACAGACTCTTTCCTTTGAGCTCTTCATTCTACTAAGTAAAAAATTTTAGAACACTGTATTTTTTTAGTGTTATTTTGTCTTCCTTTTGATTAGTTCTGTCCCTGCTATGAAGACAGTATGAACACATTTGCCTTTACCTTAGTATATCTCAATGAGCTCAGCTTCTTTAAGTCTTCCTGTGCTCACTATGATAATGGGGTCATGTTGATGCTGGTGTATGCTGACTGCTACACTTTTCTTGTTCTCTATATGTTCGGAGAATTTTAGCCACATTCTGGACCTTGTAAGCGGCACGTTGTATATTCGATTGTGGTCCTCGGTCTGGTTAACTTGACTGAACCCGCACCCTCAGCTTTGCATTAGCTCAGATCTCGTCTCAGTCCTTTTCTGCAGCTGAGGTCTTCTCCACACATACGTGTCTCCGTGCTCAGCCAGAAAGCTGTCCGGAGTGCGTGGGGAGATACCGGAGAACTCACGCTCCGGCTGTCTCCTGGCTGGAGAGGCCCTTCCTCTAAGTGTTCTGAGTTGTCATTCTGTCATTGTGTGTTGCCGACCAGAAAGCTGTGGCATTTCATCACAGATTTGCCATGCCACATGGCCACTAACTGTAGCTTGCCCTCAGGCTTCTCCCTTTATAGGCACGAACTCTCCCCAGCTCCACGGATCACATCTCTGCACATGACAATGGCTGGCATAAGAAAGCAGACATGTCTTTTTATTTATCAGCGAGGCTGCCAGAGACCTTCCCTTATGCCAGACGTTTGTCATATGTCCACCCTAAAACCAATCACCAGCAAAGACAAACAACTGTGTGTTATGTTTGGCTTAGTGAGTTCTATTCATGAGGAAGAGAGTGGGCTTTCCAAATAAGTCAGTGGCCCTACCACAAAGGAAAAAGCTAGTAATGGGTCTGAGATAGACAGCCAATTGTTTCTGCTACAGAAATTTCTGCATTGCAAAATCCCAGGAGATGCTTTTCACACAGTCTAGCACAGGAATTGTGGGCCCGACAATTGTGAAACATGGTGCTGCTAAAATTAATTACTAGATAATTTTATAAAAGTTGAGAAATTTATGAAGTGATAAATCAGTTTTAGTCCCATCTAATGGTGGACCCACTTAAAGAGGGATAGGAACAGTGTTGCTGAAGAATTCAGAAAGTGTAAGGCTAAGGATATAGCTCAGTTGATAGAGAGCTTGCCAATACCACATTAACTCGGCCTAATGGCCCAGGCCTGTAACCACAGCACTCTGAAGGTAAATGGAGGGGGATAAGAAGTGCAAGGTCATTCTTGGCTGTAGATAAGTTCAAGGGCAACCTGGAATACTTGATACCTGTCTTAAAAAAAAAAAAAAAAAAAACAAACCACAGGAATTCACACTATAAATTCTCTAAGAATATGGATATATACATGCATATATATCTGCGATGGTTTGGATGACAATGCCTCCCATAGGCTGATTATTTGAATATTTAGGCCCCAGTTGGTGGAAATGATTGGAAAGATTAGAGAGACACAGCTTTGGCACTGGAAGTGTGTTTCTGGGTTTGGACTTTGAAGTATCAAAAGCCCATGTCATTCTCAGTTTGCTATACGTGTCATATATTAATATTGGCTAGTACAAAAGTAAGTTATCTAGGTCTTGAGAGAGAGAGAGAGAGAGAGAGAGAGAGAGAGAGAGAGAGAGTGTGTGTGTGTGTGTGTGTGTTGCTGAAGGTTTGTGGTCATATATTGTGTATCCTAATAAAATTTGCCTGAAGGTCAGAGAACAGAGCAAGCCACAAGATTAAACATAGATGCCAGGCAGTGGCGGCATACACACCTTTAATCCTAGCACTTGGGAGGCAGAGATCTGTCTGGATCTCTATGAGTTCAAAGCCGCCCTGGACTACATGAGATTGACTCAGTCTGGGCAAGAAACAGAGCCAGGCAGTGGTGGCACACGCCTTGAATCCCAGTACTGGGAAGCACACATGCCTTTAATTCCAGGAAGTGATGGCTGGGCAGAGAAAGATATATAAGTCGTAAGGAGACAGGAACTAAACGCTTTTCAACAGAAATGTCCCTTTCAGCTAGAGGCTTTTTTGGCTGAAGGCTTTTCAGCTGAGGAAGCTCATTCAGCTGGAGGTCTATTGGTTGAGGCTTTTCAGGCTAAGGAATCCTAGAGGTGAGACATGGCAGTGGCTTGTTCCCTTGTCTCTCTGATCTTTCAGCATTTATCCTAATATTTTTTTTTTTATTAAGATCACTTAGGAATTCGTGTTAGAGAGGTTGAATCAGGGCCTTGCCCATGCTAGGTAACTGTTCTATCCTTGACCGATACCTTCATCCCTTATTATTTTTCCATCAATTCCTACTGATCTATAAAGCCACTTTCTACTAATGGGTTTGTTTGCTTTGTGCAATACCAGAGGTTGAACCTAGGGTCTTGTACTTGCTAGGCATACACGCTGTCACTGGGTATAATTTATATTAAACTTGTTATGAAGGCCACATAAGCCATAGTCTATTCCTATCAACTGGAATTACAGAGCAATGCTATCAGATCCAGATTTAAAAGCCCACATATTTACAGGATTCAGAGTAAGACTAGTTGTCTAACTAGATAGCATTAAAAGATTGTATGTGTGTATGGGTGCCTGTGTGTGCACATTAGTGTATATAGTGTAACTGGAATAAGAGAAATTCCCACAATCACTTTTTAATATGAAAAAATAGGAATAAAATAATTCTCATGCATTTTTTTTTCAAGACAGGGTTTCTCTGTGTAGCTTTGTGCCTTTCCTGGAACTCACTTGGTAGCCCAGGCTGGCCTCGAACTCACAGAGATCCACCTGCCTCTGCCTCCCGAGTGCTGGGATTAAAGGCGTGTGCCACCACCGCCCGGCTCTCATGCATTTTTTTAAACCCATAGCAAGTATAGTTGAAGTAGGAAGGGAAAAAAGCAGCTAGGCAAATTCTGTACTAATCCATTTACAAACGGGCATGATTTCATTGGTTAAAGTCAAGAATGCTTCTTTGTCACAAATTAGCCAAAGGAACTAAGGTTACTTTCCCTCTACCAACAGAAATCTAGTATAGCATCCTAATCCTCACTAATTGCAATGGGAACATACAAGCCAGGATTTATAAAAAATTTACTCTCAGGCTTTCCAAGCCTCCATTAACTTCAGCGGGAATGTAGAACAAGGATTTTGTTCCTAGTGGTGAGGGCAACAAGGAACCACTGTGAAGATTCTTCAGCAGAAATAGGTTGTAAAACGCACAATTTTGAATTGCTGGACTTGGCTGGGATTCAAGGGATTCATCAAGATATGCTCTTATTTAGAGATGGTTTTCACACATTCTCGGTCACAAAGCATGATCTGCTAAAGGCAGGATCTTCCAAACTGGTGGCAATGAACCTCGGGAAATGTCCAATCCTCACATGCTCAAGACCCTGAATTCTGAAATGTACCTTTCCTTCCTGACTGCTTCAGAGTCCGGAAAGACCTTCTGCTATCACAGAAAGTGGATTCTGTCCTTGGTTTTGTGGAAGCTGAAATCCTTTCTGTTTGCTTATCTGGAAGACAGGAAGAAGATTTTCACCAACTTGACTGCCTAAGACAATGCACACACCTTTCCCAGACCCACCTTTGTTTAACCTGTAAAGTAGGGGCTGTAGGACAACAGGAAGTCCTGTCTTTTCAAGTCTACAGCTTGCAGTTGAATCTTGGCCTAGGACCATAAAGTGAAAGCTCAAATGAGAACCATTGTCTGCTCTGAGTTGCAGCAATTTCTACAGAAGTCAATGGCTTGTGAAATTCCTAAAAGGACAATGACCAACAACAATTATCTACATGTGTATTTCTTCTTGATATTTCTCTATGTGGAACAGCTTTATGTCTATCCTTGAAATTTAGATGTGACTATTTCTCCATCTTGAAATAGTTGAAAAGAAAATATTCAAACAATAACCCTAAGTATCCCAGAAAATGACATAATTAATTCCAATCCTTGTTTTCTACAATAAACTATGACTATAGGCTAACAAATTACTTTTAATTGCAAAAATAATTATTTTAAAGATTTGTAAATATTCACAGTAGGAAATATTTAAATTATCATAGTTAACTGGAAAGGAAACTAATTTTTGAATATTTTTTATTCTTTGACAGTTTTATACATGTATAGACTGAATTTTAATTCTTTTCACCCCTACTACCATAGAAAAAGTAGTTTTAATGTGGAGTTTTAACCACAGATTTCTAGAAATGCATTTTGTTTACAGAAGTAATTTCACCTTTAAAATGCTCCTTTCATTTATATGAAAGTATTTTATCAAACCTGTAACAATCAAATAATTGATTCTCTGAACCTCAAAATTCAATAGCTAAATAAAAAGGTTGGTAGTTCTCAATCTAAATGTAATCCTATATATTTCAGTAGGGCAAATGTCATGTATCATTATCTTTCTCTACAAAGGATTCAGCACATCCCCAAGCAAACACTAGATGTTTTACAATGGGCTTTGTGTTAAACTGTGCTTCCTTATAATCTCGGATAAACACAAAAACACATTATCACAGACTGTTTACTGTCTGTGGAAGATGTGTATTCCAGTCTACAGTCTGCTCTGTCCTAACAAAGACAAAAGTTATCTCAGACAATTCACAGGAAGAGACCTTTAGACCAAGTTTAGTTTACTCACAGAGATGTAGCACAATTGAAGGAACAACAAAGAATGATCCTGACAAGCCAGAAATGAAGGGTAACCATACAACTCCTTGAGCTTCAATAGCAAGAGACGGAAATAATGTCCTAGGGACTCCAGGAATTGCTGGACATCTTGAGGAAGAGTCCTTTGAAGAGAAGGTGTAAATCTGGAAGGATGCACCTCCTGTCGGAGTCATGGCACTGAAACAAAATGAAACAAATATGGGAAGAAATACAGTGAGCTTTTCTCTGTGTGCGCTTGTCTACCTGACAAAACCAAATGCAAGTTACCTGTCCGAGGAACACTGGAGAGGTACATATGTCAGCCCAGAGCTGGGCAGAGAAGGGAAGAGAATGGATTCCCAGGGATAATCCAAGAAAACTGAGCACAACAGGATTGCATTTCCTACAACACAAGAGCTGTTTGGTTATCACTAATTCACAGAGTGCACATTTTTCTGTTTCTGATTCTTTGAATAGGGGAAAAACTTGTCCAATTTGGAATGGGTACTAGGTCAAATTGAATTTGGTAAGATGTATGTTTTAATAGTAGACACATGGGACTGGAGAGATAGCTCAGTGGTCAGAACACCTATTGCTCTTACAGGGGGTTCGGTTCAGTTTTCAGCCCTCTCACGGCCACTCACGACTGCCTGTAACTCCATCTCCAGGGAATACTCTTCTGGCCTTCATTGGTTCCTACACACATGTATATTCAAGGAAGATGCTTTCTCATGCAACACAAATAAATAAAGAATGATAAATAAATCTCACCAAAATTAGAAAGTACAGCAGATGGGTTAGGGAATTTTTTATCAGAAAATAGTTAACATAATCATTTACAACATATATACTATCTATCCACGATTCTGGAAAAAGAAACAAAAGAGAGACCATCAGGGTTAGCTGGCAGAGATTTTTTTTCACGTCCTAAGCCTGTAGGAGAAATCTAGAGCAAAGGGTTGTGCCACAACCACAGAGGAGATGACCAAACCTTAATCCTTCATGAAGCCAGTGAGCAGAAGCCACAGTTTCCCTTAGCTCTTTTGAAGAGAAAGACAACATAAATAATTGTCAGGATCGAAATCTCTTCAAATGCTTTCTAGATCTGAGACAACCCTAGCTTTCCTATCCCTAATGACGAAGACAGAAGTCAAAGGTTCACTCCTGTATAGAGATACATGCATACTCTTTAAGAGTTAAACTGCCCTATCTTCATTAGACCCAAAATACTGATAATGGACTACTAGCACAGAGTAGATACTCAATAAACATCACTCGAATAAAAAAAAAGAAAATGTATGAAAAAAAAAAGACCATGCTGTAAATATCCCCATGCCAAAGAACCAAAATTATAAGGAAAATATTGTAATTTCCAAACAAAACATCGACAAATGTCACACAACTAAGAAACCAGAGGGCTTGACTTGGCAGGAGACACAGATCAGCACAGGGGCAGCTGGAAGCACCAAGCGGAGCTCTTCGGAGACTTCACAACTTTGTCAAGGAAAGGCTCTGTCTGCCAGAAGCAGGGAGGGGACGAACAGCAGCTTTGTGAAAATACGTTCCCTGTGTTTGGTTTCAAGATGCAGAGTTCAGCTTTCTGGAATTGCGCTGATTTAGTGTGAGTACATTTCAAACATTCCAATATAGATATTTTTCTTACAAAAGATCCTTTATGTTTCTATCTTAGCCTTATTTCATTTTCAATAGGAGATTATTGGATCTTTGAAAATAAGTTTAGTTTCAAACTTTTTATATATATACATATATATATATATATATATATATATATATATATATATATATATATATAAATGTCTATGCTTTAAAGTACCATATTGTTTCAGGAAAATTTAACATGATGGCATAGAGAATTGAATCAAATTAATAGATTACTTTTCTAAATGATATCAATTGCTTGGGGAAGCAACTTAAAAATGCTTATTAAATTCCAAATAGCTCATGAATACCCTGAAAATTTGTAGCATAAGTTACATTCAAATGTGTTCATTTCATTTAAGAATCTGCTTTACCCAAACCACAAAAACACTTATTTTATTTTGTCTAATCAACTGATAGTTAATAATTCAACACTAAGCTATTTTATTGCTTTTCTCTGGCTAATCAATTGCAACAAAGATATGCTGGTTTTCCATAACTAAAGCCTTCTAATCTTTCTTATCTCTTCCATTCTGGCAACTCAGACATATTAGAGTGAGTAGAGGATGATAAGGAGAAAAACAGAGAGAGGAGGAAGAAAAGGAAAACAGGTAGTTGGGTGTGGCAAAACCTAGGGTCACATGGAAGGCCTGTTATTGTCACTCCTAACTAATCTATCATGGAGTGACTTCAATCAGTCTATAAAATGCAAGAGTCATAATTCAGTTGACCATCTTTACTTCAGAAACCAAAAGTCCAAACAGATATTTCAATCATCCAAACTTTGTGAGAGTCACCATGACACCACCAAAGGAAAATTGCACATCTGACCTCAAAATCTATGTTGCAACGGAAGCAGGCACACAACTAAACTAACTAAATAAATAAATCTGGTATACGTGTGTTTGTGTCTGACTACATGAGTGGGCTGTGTATATGTAGTGTAGAGTGAGCTGTATGTAGGCTGGGGAAGCACTTTGTGCTGTTGTCTCGAACCCTCTCTATCTGCTGATTCCCTTGGCCAGCAAGCCTCAGTGATGCTCCTTTTTCTACAGCCACAGCATGAGGATTACAGGTGTCCAGAGCAAGGCTTGTCTTTTCCTGTGTGTGCAGGTTCCAGGGAGTCAAACTCGGGTCCTCGTGCTTACATGAAAAGTGCTGTTTGACACTGAGCCACTTCCCCAGCTCCCTAAAATATCAAATGAGTGTACCTTTAGACTGTCTGTATGAATATAATTGAAACGTGAATTTCACTCCTTGGCTTACATTCAGCCTGGACGCTACCTCTCAGTGCATATGCAAATGTTTAAAAACTTCAACAGATCTGAAGCCCTTCTGTCCTTGTTCATTTCAATGAGGGGTGATCAACCCCTCAGACCATGCCTCCTACCAACTTTTAAGAGCTGCACTCCTACTCTGTATAAGGTAAAAATGTTTTTTATTCCACCTGAAGCTCTTACTTTGAAATGATTAATTATAAACTATCAACTCTGTACTTGCTCAAACATCATTGACTGTGGCCATCATTTCTAGCTGTAACTTTGGAAGGAAACAAGCAAGGAGGTGGGTAGGGGAAGCCTTCCTACTAGCATTTCCTATATGCAAATAGGAAAACAGTCCCATGCTCCTAATGTCTGCATGACAGGCTTTAAAAAAAAAATGAGGCCTGCACATGTTGTAATTGTCAAACAGCCTGGCTGACTTTTGACCTGATTTAGCATTATTTGAAGCAGCTTACTGACACTGCCAATAACATCTCACATAACAGAAGACACATCTTGTCACTGAACCACAGACAGCGCCGAGCAACACAAAAAATCTCGGAAATACATGTTTCAAATGTAAACTGCTCAAAGAGAATAGCGACTGAAGGGTCTGGGAAAAGGCCCTCCTGGTGCCTCCTTTACATGAAAGTGCCACCATTTCCAAGTCTTTAACTGTCTTCTCACGATCTTGCTTTTAAAAGTCTGTGACTTTTCAAATCATCACATTTAACAGAAGTTTACCTCCCTTTTCTTTCAATAAAGATTGAGTCTAATATCACTGGATATGCTTAGGCCATAGCAACAGAGCATGCCTGCCAGAGATCGGATGAAAGAGACAGGCAGCCCTTTAGAAAAGCAGGTACCGCTCTAATCTGAAGCTTGTACTGTCCTTTCAATCTGAGCAGAGAAACAATTAATAAAGGAACCCATTAAGACCTGATTATTGCAGCTAAAAAAAAGGAAGGTAGAATTTCAGTCCTTTGAAGTAACTGAGAATGATTCAGGCCTCATTACAGAGATATAATCTACATTCATACATTTATGTTAGTGATTCAAATCTATTGGGAGAGATTGGATTCCGTTAAATAGTGCATCTCTCCTGTGGAACTTTTCTCAGGCTTTCTGGGGCTAAGTTGAGAGGTGACTTTACAATACAAAGTGGCGGGGACTTAGGGGTTCTACTGTGCTGTGGAAGAAAGGCAGTACTGAAAAGAAAAAGAAGAAGGAGATACAATCTAAAAAGCCATGTCAGCTTCTCCTTTGGGCAGTTTAGTAAATGTCCCCCTGTCATCAATGCTCTGCAGAGGAGAGGCAAAGGGACTCCCGGGTTCTCAAACACCACACCTTCTGCAGGCAAGTTTTCACAGGACAGTTTTGAGAATGACTTTCTCCTCATTTTAGATAGAATTCAAGTAAAACTTTTAGCTAGAAGATCTGAATAGCTTCTACTGGAACAAAAAGGTAGTGTGTGTGTGTGTGTGTGTGTGTGTGTGTGTGTGTGTGTGTGTGTAGGAGAGAGAGAGAGGTATATTGGGTTGAATGAGTGTCTGGTGTGAATTAAAAAAAAAAAAAAACCACCACTCAAGTTGGCATCAATAGTGTTGGTGCCCAGTGTAAAGAAACCCCAAACTAATTACTTCCTGTGTTTCATAATTTTTCACAAAAGAATCTTTATTGTATGGTTCCATCAAACATTTTTTAAATGTAGTTTCAATTAGTTGTCAATTCAAACATTTGAATTCTTCTTTCTATGAGAATGAAACTTAAATCCCTTAGAAATTATCTACTCTTTCACACATTTGTCTGTTCAGGTATAAAACTGTGAAATCGGAAATTGAAATTAGCACTGTGGGCTCATTTTTCAATATCCATACTTTAATTAAAGAAGCAAGACTTCTTTGACGCATGCTCTTTATTTGCTTAACTTTTCAATTAATAGCTACAGAAATCAGTTAATTATATTAAAGTTAGAAATCTGCTGTGATGTTCGTCACATTGCTGAAATCTTTTGAATAAACATTGCAATGAGTTATAAATAATGCAATTAAAACCCTGATTCTGGTATTAAGTAGTTCCATTTCAAAGGCACTAAACACACAGGAAAATATAAGAGCATACATTCAAGCCACTCAACAAGTCACTAAAATGTATTTGGCCAATCGTTGACAGCGCTCATCTCTAGGACTTTTAAATTTTAATTTTCTTTCCCCAGGTCCCAAATGAAGACTGAAGCCGAATGCTCACAACAGTATTTCTGGCTTGTGTGTGCAAGCTCCTTTTGCAAATTCTTTCTGAATCACTGTTGCAAGTTGTCTAACTCTCAGGTTCACCTTGAAATGTCTGCATCTCATGCAGCCTATTAGGTTGAGAACCATGTGATACTGCCACTTCCCTAAGTGGAAAGCTGTAAGGTATTGACAATTTGTTTTGCTTAGACAGAACACAGATGTCCAACTGCCTCATGGAACAGAGTAATATATGTTCATGCATTCCTTCCAGGCAGTCCTTCCCTAGTTTAGCTATTTTCTTAAAGAAGTGATCCTCTGGGACCCAGAACTCTATCACACTCAGGTAGGAATGACTTATCACGGTGTTTCCTTCTGTGTGTGAACCTTCTGATTCTGGACAACAGTTTCCTGGTCTTGGACTGACTTATGTCTGCTTCTGGGTTGAGAGCTGGGTTGTGTGAGCCTTGGTAGAGTTGGGGGTTGGTGTGTACTAGAGTGTGAGTGGAAGATTTGTAGGTAGTGAAGCTGCATTGTAAAATAGAGCCCTTTAAACATTAAATGTGAGGTTGGGGGGAGGGACCCTCCTCTTTATGGTAAAATGCAAAGGAAATTGAGTCGAGAAGAAAACAGGCAGCAGGGGATTTGGTTAAACTTTGTGATAAAATCTGCGATCGCAGGAAAGTGCATAGGCTTTGAAGTCCGTGCCTGATTCTGTAAAGGACTCGTGTTAGCAATTAGAAATCAGTAACTTGGGTCCCTGATTTCATTTACGCCAAGAGAGAGGCGATGTTTAAGGGTGACGATAAATCTCCCTGAGCTTAAAAAGACAGAGAGGGCCAAAGTGTGAACTTTTTACTTCAGCAACGGAAGCGAGAAATCAATGATTCATTAAAACCCGAGACCTCCTTGGAAGCTGGCAGGAGAGGAGGAAACGAAGCAGCTCATTATGTCTCCCTTTTCTCCAGCTCCTATCAGTTTATAATCTACTGTTGGGGAGAGTTTCTCCTGAGCATCCTCTACTGCTCTTTCCCCAGCCCTCTTCCCTGCTTCTGGGACCTGGAGCGGAGAATCGCATACACACACAAAAGCCAGGCTCCAAACTCTATTTTCACGGCCCGGGGTGGGGTGCAGGGGGTGGTGCGCGGGGGGAGAAAGAAAGAAAAAGAAAACTACACTGGAAAACAAATGAGCAAGGGGTTCCCGGGAGGGGAGTGGTTCCCGCCGGAGGGCAGCAAAATTCGGAACGCACGCGGACAGCTCGCGCTGGTGGTGGCCAGCGCTGCTAGCACAGGACGCCGGAGCAGCAATTAGCTGGAGCTGCAGGCTGCGGGGCGGCTGCGCCCACAGAGGCTGCGAGGAAGGGACCCGCAGCCCCCAGCTCAGAGCAAAGGCATCGCACACTCCTCGCGCCCAGGCCCCCCCCCCCCGCACCCCCCCTCCCCGCGCGCGCCTCCCTCGGCCCCTTCCCCCCCCTTCCCTTTTCCCTGGCGTTCCCAGCAGCTTAGGGTTTCAGATGTCCCACCGCCGTTTGACCCCCTCCCCCGCCTTCTCCACCCCTGCAAATGAGGTTTGACCAGCAGAGTTAGAGCCCACCTCTGGCTGAAAAGCACTGACATTTAGACTCCAGGCTTCAACCTGTTTACAAGCGGCTTTCCAAGGGACTTGGAGGTGGAGGGTTAGAGCCAAACAAAACACCAGCCGCCAGCCGCCAGCCGCCCCCCAAACAAGAAGTGGCTTTCGGGAGACTTCTCATCAACAGGCACCACCAAAAAGAGAAAGGAAGAAGAAGGAGAAGAAAACAACCGCGCCTGGGCAGCTGCCTCCAGTTCTGACAACTCCAAAGAGACACACTTTTTAAGTGGCCAGCAGGCTGGGACTCTGCAGAGAAGGACCAGAAGGTGCCAACCGCAGAGGGGCGCAGATGTCTTCCCGCACCCCCACCCCACCCACTTTGGGTTTTCTTCACCGGGCTGTCATCTGTTTTTCAGACCTCTTTTGCATCTAACATGGTGAAGAAAGGAGTGAAGAAGAGAACAAAGTAACCCCCGGGGTGGGGAGCGGAGAGCGCTGGTGACCGACACCACCAGTTCCTACTACTGCGGCCACCCACGTCCACTGTTCACCCACGGACGGGAGAGACACAGGCAGCGGATCTGAGAACGGAGCGAGGACAGGCAGCCGGCCCTTCCGAGGAGTTATGGATGTTGGTGTATTCGCTTCTGGCCAGATCCGTACCCGGAGGGAGCTAACCAGTAGCCACCACCTCCAGCTGTCTCTTTGCCTCGCACCAGGTCTTACCCTTCCAGTATGTTCCTTCTGATGAGACAATTTCCAGAGCCGAGAGTTTCAGTACAATGTGGAAATGGATACTGACACATTGTGCCTCAGCCTTTCCCCACCTGCCGAGCCGCTGTTGCTGCTTCTTGTTGCTCTTCTTGGTGTCTTCCGTCCCTGTCACCTGCCAAGCTCCTGGTCAGGACATGGTGTCACCGGAGGCCACCAACTCCTCTTCCTCCTCCTCTTCTTCCTCCTCCTCCTTGTCCTCTCCTTCCAGTGCGGGGAGGCATGTGCGGAGCTACAATCACCTCCAAGGAGATGTCCGCTGGAGAAAGCTGTTCTCCTTCACCAAGTACTTTCTCAAGATTGAGAAGAATGGAAAGGTCAGCGGGACCAAGAAGGAAAACTGTCCGTACAGTAAGTAACAAATGCGTGCTCCTCTCTTTCCAATTATCCACCCCCACCCCACGCGGGGACGTGGGGGGGGCAGAATCTGTTCCAGATGTGGCCAGCTAAATATTTATGTCCCCAACCCCTGTAAAATGATGAAGTGGAATACTTTCACACTAAATCAGCCCCCTCCCGAGCATACATTGTGCCACACGGTTCCTTCCACCACACAAGCTTCCTCCACATCCCTCGCCACCCTGTTCTCCATTTCTCTAGTTTGTCACTCACGCTCCTGATGCCCTCGAGTTCTTGCTTCTAGGAGATGCTCCATTCTGTCTCCAATACAACCCCCACCCCCACCCCCATCTCATCCAAAGGTCTCCTTTCCCTCCCTTCTGGAAATGGCTCAAGTAAACACATTTTGTTTCTTTTCGCTGGCAATCTTAAGAGTTTTGGGACCGGCTCCTAAAGCTGAAAATAATTATCCACTGTCAATTATAGGGGCTTTATGGGAAGTTTAAGGAAGAAGAGTCACTTCCACCGTCTTCCCGCCCCCCCCCCATCTTTTGCCCCACCACTTCTCCATAGAAGCCGAAAGAGTTGTTTGTTTGTTTGTTTTTTCTTTTCCAAGTTTTGATTATTTTTCTCCTTTTGGGCCCCTCCGTTTGGTTTGAGTGATGGCAGTCCATGAAGTTAGCTTGTCCTCGTCGTCGGGCAGTACCCGCTGCTGTTTGTCTCCTGCCTGCCTGCTCTCTTGGTAACATGACGCTCATGTCTGCATTGTCAAATGGCATATGCGCTCGGCTTTGTGGTGTCTTGTTGGACTGTTTCTTCTGAAACCTCTCATATTGCAGAGGCATAGTACTACAGCATTGTAAACATCTGGGACTGGAGTCACACAGACCTCACACAAATTTCATTGTCATTCTTTTATTTTCAAAGCAAAAGCCTAAGTTCTGTTTCCAAGACTCCATCCCATAGGGCGCGGTTTGTCTCCCCAGCACACATTCTGCAGGGGATCCTTGTATCTTTTTCTCTCCTTCTTCCCTTCTCTCTGGTCTTTCTTTCCATCGTCCTGTCTTGGGGCGGCGGGGGGCGGGGGGCGCTGAGTAAGGGGAGGAAGAATGAGGAGGGAAGAGGTGGATACCATGTCTCTTCTTGAACCAATCCAGGCAAGCCAGATTATTCTGTTGGCTTCCTTTCCTGGTTACTTTCATGGGCTGAGACTTATTCATCCTCTTTTGATTGCTATTTGAAGGGATTCCCAAGGCTCTGTAATGGCACACTGAAGACAGTAGACAATGACATTTAAACATCTTTAATGACCGCATGCTTGGCTTTATCTCTTTGGTAAATTCCAAGTCACCTTTCAAGGGGAACGTTTTTTGTTAGTTCTTTGGGAATTCCAAGCATACACTGGCCAGCACACTGAAATGTGTGAGTCACAGATTTCAGATTTTTTTTTTTTACTCAGAGTGTATCAGGTACTGATGAAAATGATAACTGACCGGAGTTTAGCATTTTATTTTTCAATAAAGATTACATGAAGGAAGACTTAGTTTTCTTCTTGGGGGATTCACAAACACCCAACATTAACTTTTGTGTGTCTTCAGCTGCCTTCATCTTAGTTGCTCATTAAAATTAGCAACATGTTTATAAGCAATACCTCCAGAGAAGCATGTGAAGTAATCTATGTTAGGTTTAGTACTGGAAATATTAAATATCTTATTGCATATGTGAATATATTCCATTCTGGTGCTTAGACAGTAGCTGAAATGGTGTCTTTAATGATGATTTCTTTTCCTTAAAAGTCTCTTGCCCCTCGAGTGCTATAGATACTGTCCTATAGAGAACCTTTATGGTTTGCTGATCCTCATTTAATATTTTTGCCTACCTCGAAAATAAAATCCAATAGTGGTGCCCAGTTAAAGGAAGAACCTACCTCCACACTGGGCTGCAGCGTTTTCTCTTTTTAAATTCCCGTGGACTGAATTTCTTTAGTTCATATGGAAAACATGAAGAAATTGAACAAAATGTCTGAGTTTGAACCTTGGGCTTACTTTCTTCTTTTTAACATTTTGATAATAACTTGATCTTGCTGTTACTCCGTTTTAAGTGGTTTTTTTTTTTAATGTGATGTAATGATCAACCTGCAGATATTTTAGTTTATGATACTCAGATGACTATTTTGTAAAATAATGATCCCTGTGCCATGAACTACTTAGTGAAATGACTCCCAGGGAACACATTGAGTTTTATTTTTACAATATGAACTATCCCAAATGAGAAAATTATGCAACTTTTATTGCATAAACAAGTACAGCAAATTTCCATCCGAACATTAAAAAATAGACATTATCTCTTTTGTGGGATAAAATATGGTAATTACTAATAGTCTCTTTTGAAATTAAAAGCTAAATATATAATATAAGGAGACTGTTTTAATTAATGGTTTAAAAGGGAAGGGGGTGGTTATATTGCTAAATATTGTCAAACCATAACTAATTAAGCTTTCCAAGAACATGTATATCAAAACATAGTAAGTGAAAAGTACAGATTGAAAAGGCCTTAATTTCACATGTGGCCCAGTAATCAGAATGTAGCTATCATTTCCAGCTGGACTGATTCAGCTGAAATACATGGTATCATTTAGATACTGTTTAAATGTTGCCTAATGGCACATAAGAAACATTTGCCACACCCACAGGGTAACCATCCAGTCAGCCCACCAAATAGTAGCCTGTTAAATATTAGGATCTCTAGCCTCTGAAGAGTGCCAGTTCCTTATCCAAAAGCCACATTTGGGGACCATTTTCCTAAACAAGATATTAATTAGTCTCAATACACAAAGATGTTCTGTTGAGATTTGCTTATTTGAAGACTGATTTTCTTTGTTATGTTTGACCCTGGTATTATTGCTGCTGGAATATCATCACAGCTTACCTAAGGGGTTGTATGTTTGTTATGCCTTGGGTAATTAAACAGCTGTTTCACTGGCTCATTCCCAGCCACATGCCAACAAAAGGGAAGAAAGGAACTCACTCGTAATTATTGCAAAATGATTTTTTTAAACTTCATCCTGCAAAGCTAACACCCTGTTTTGAGTAGATATGAAAGTGCGACATGTGTTGAAGAAACTCTTCTCAACTTGAGTGATTACTAAAGCTTTTTTCTTTAGAAGGGGGGGGAGGGTGGGGTGGGGTGAGGCAGGGGTGTGTGTTTTCTTTGCTCTTTGCTATTATATGGGAGTAGAATCAAGAGAGTTGGGGTGAATTATGTTTCTTCTGCTAGAGGACTAAGGGAGCTTGAAAAATTGAGACTAGCTATGGCATATCTGTCACTAGATATGTGCAGGCTCATTTAGGTTTTGTTTTATCATTCCTTACATCTAGAGCTTTGCCCTTGAAACATTACCACTCAGCTCTGCTTCTGACCTCCTAGAAAGGCTGGATACAGCTGTTAGGTCCCCTTGCAAATGGGACTGGTTGACTTATTTCTGGACATGAGTAAAACAGCTGTGAGCTTCTCCCATGGCTGCCACTTGAAGAAAAGAAGAATCTAGGGAAAGGAAAATGTATACCCCAAACTAAAGGCAGCTAAACGGATGTTCCCAATACAGGGTCCCAGAGCTTATGGGCCTTTCTGAGAAAAGAGTATGAGAGACAAGGAATATAGAGCATGCAATCCATCTCTTTAAATATGTATCCAACATAGTACTCATAATAGTTGCATAGCTTTGATAAAACTATATATATTTTAAAATACAAAAATCAAGGTTGGAAGAAGTAAAGTTTCTAATCACTCAACTGGAAAGTAATAAAAGCATATTGCAAATCTGACCTTATCTGGTTATCTCTCCTTGTATGATGTAGCTCTCTGCTAATCCGAACATGAATACCAGTGTATTAGACCAAGACACTCCTAACATCCTAAAAATGAGTCATTTAAAACTCATGTTGCCTTTTGCTGTGAACACTAAGAGATTTCAGTCTTAATTGGAAGAGAAGTAAAATGACCATGGGAAGAAAAGAAAATATTAGAGATAATCGGCGCAGGTGGCCACATGGTATCAGACTATATTAGCATCTCATCCAGGTCAGGGCTCTCTCTTGATATTATGTTTGGAAATATAATTGCTCATGGACACACACAAGGTACACATACATCAATCTTACTTATGTTAACAGAGGTCATTAGGAATACATGACTATTTAAGAAAATCCATGAATGTCATTGTATATAGTAATGGTTTACAGCTGAGGGCCAAATGCTTAACCGTTCCCACGTGCAATAAAATAATTTGATTGTAAATACCTATGGGAGCTTAGGCTGTTGCAGGAACTTCTAACACATGACTCTAAAAAAAAGTGACATTATAGAGACCTAAAGCTAGAGGTAGTGAGGCTGTAAAATAAATCTGTAAATCAAAACGATATTTTGCCACATAAAAATCATAGATTGTAATGCTAAACATAGCAATAAAGGATTGCTTTATTAGTTTTTAATCAGGAATTCAGTTTATTATTGAAGGAAGTTAAAAAAATAGTAATTGGGAGAAGAAGAAACTACAGTATTGTTTCCTAATGAACACTCCAGAGTTTTCTAGTGTGTGTGGGGAATCCTATGGGCAATTTATGGCTTCCGCTGGTGTCTTATTTACAATTGTGGTTCTTTCTAGAATTTGCTTGAAAAATTTATAACCAGAAGCATTGACTCATCAACCGAGAGGATTTATGAAGGTGGAAGGCACTGTATTTAGTTTACGTGACACCGTTCTGTTACCTTCACTGCATTTACACCATGTGGACCCGCCGCTTTGATGGCTTTATCATAAATCCATTAAAATGCACAATTGGAGAGTTCCCTCTTCATAAACCTGATTTATAACCACCTCCTAGAAGAACTCAACAAACCAGTTGGCTGGAATAACATGCTAGTATGGGAGGAGGAGAATTTAGACACCAAACTCTAGGTCTTGGGAATGCCAGTAACCTGGTACCTGAAGGTACAGATCATTCTTTAAAAGC